CTATTTAAGAGTGTCAAAGTATTTCAGTCTGTTTTATAGATTTTTAATTCAAAGATTAATTTCTCTCGAATATTAGAAGCTGTAAAAAGAAATAGTTATCTCGAAATTTTTTTCTAAAACATTGAATATATCTTTCTTTCAAAGAAAGCTTTGTTTAAATTAATCTTAGATGTTTTCGACATATTTTTGCTTTGACACCAAAATGCAAATTTCTCTTTTCAGCAAATAAAAAGTTTGATAAAATGTCTACTTGTTCAATTTTTTTTGTATACTTAAATGCGCGTAATAATTACTGTTAGTTCTTTAATCGCTTTAATACTATCAAAATTTACTCTTCATTTATTAAAAAATCGATGAAACGTGAAAAATGTGTATTGTTGGTACGCTGGAACTAAACTGAAGAATATGTAACTTATTGATGTCGTATAAATATAGCGGAAGTTTTGCCTATAAATTTCTACATAAAATTGATAATATAATATTATCAAAAATACTGATTAATATAGAATTCGAAAGAAAGTTTTATTTGCGTCAATTTTATCAAATCTAATTTTTAGGAAGATATAAATTTTCCTATCGAGGAGTATATCAGAACAAAAGTGCATATTTTGGGAATCGTAGAAAAACTTGAATCGACTTTAATTTTAATGACACATGATAAATTTAGAATAGGTTTGGCGACGGATTTATATTTATTATAGATCTAAATTATAATATCATGTGTCAATTAATTTTTTTACAACACAAATGGCTAATAAAATATTTTAATCACAAATATAAAATTGTTTGTAAGTATATGACTCTAAGATGGCGTAGACATCTCGTAATATAAGATTTTAAGTTATAGCTCGTTCAACTCAATCTAAATCCGGCTCTAAATCCGTTTGAAAAATTTTTACCAATGACGCGCCGCTAATCATCAAAACCGAACGTTACAACATATGTGTACACACATATACATAGACAGCATCGGTTATCGATCTCTTCACGTATAAGTTTGGCGGAAATTTTGCGTCGCGGCTGCGGCGCAAACGTGTCTCGAATCCTCTTCTTTCTTCTTCTCTTTCCCGTAGTACCATTTCGAAACTTTTCCCTGTGGGACGCGTTTACGTGATCCAATAAGTTAATCGCCCGTACCTATACCGTTGTTCGGCCGCGTTGCCCTTACATGCGGGATTAGTATCTCAACTTGATAAACTCCGCGTTGTGTTACGTAATCCGCTTCAAACCATTTTCACACTTAACCCGCAACGTCGGTCCATTTATATCTTTCTTCTTTCTCACCTATTCTTAACGCTGTCAAATATTATTTGTGAACGCTTATCTATGTTTGAACTAAGATATCGTTTGTCAGGTGATAGTATTACAAATACCCTCACATATTTTGCAAAGAGTATACAGAGTTCTCCAGAATAGGCAAAAAAAAAAAAAATAAATGTGTATTCTCTGATAAAATTGAAATTAGATTTTTATCAGCGAAAATACAAGGTAAACGTTCGCTTATTTTATTTTGTCCACAATGATAATTTCTAAATTTATTTGTATTACTACATACACGGACTTCTGTATATTATACCTAGACTGCTAACAGCGATGTGACAGGTGAAGCCAGAATAGCCATTTACAATTGGGCAGAATATATATATATATATATATAGGTTAATACACACTTACATTACTTACATATTATATATAGGTTAATACACACTTACATTACTTACATATTATATATAGGTTAATACACACTTACATTACTTACATATTATATATAGGTTAATACACACTTACATTACTTACATATTATATATAGGTTAATACACACTTACATTACTTACATATTATATATAGGTTAATACACACTTACATTACTTACATATTATATATAGGTTAATACACACTTACATTACTTACATATTATATATAGGTTAATACACACTTACATTACTTACATATTATATATAGGTTAATACACACTTACATTACTTACATATTATATATAGGTTAATACACACTTACATTACTTACATATTATATATAGGTTAATACACACTTACATTACTTACATATTATATATAGGTTAATACACACTTACATTACTTACATATTATATATAGGTTAATACACACTTACATTACTTACATATTATATATAGGTTAATACACACTTACATTACTTACATATTATATATAGGTTAATACACACTTACATTACTTACATATTATATATAGGTTAATACACACTTACATTACTTACATATTATATATAGGTTAATACACACTTACATTACTTACATATTATATATAGGTTAATACACACTTACATTACTTACATATTATATATAGGTTAATACACACTTACATTACTTACATATTATATATAGGTTAATACACACTTACATTACTTACATATTATATATAGGTTAATACACACTTACATTACTTACATATTATATATAGGTTAATACACACTTACATTACTTACATATTATATATAGGTTAATACACACTTACATTCTTACATTTACTTACATATACACTATAATATACACTCCTAATCTGTCCAATTGTAAATGGCTGTCCTTGTTTCATATATCACTATATGAGACATAGCTGTGCTAGCAGTCTAGGTATAATATACTCGTACATACAGAAGTCTGTGACTATATATTTAACATTAGGGAAACGTGAGCATTGTAATCAATAGACAAATTTAACCTCGATCATAAACTGTTTAATCAACTTGATGATTCTAATGCAAAGATTTTGATAGATTTGATTAATTTAATTATAATTATCGATCAAATTCATTGAGATTACACAATTACTGTCTGCAATATTAACTTTTTAAACGAGAATATCTCACGAAATACAAAGTTTGTTTCTTGTAACGCTACGGATCTTCCCGGGTTATTTCGACTGGTTACATTATTATGCTAAATTGCGTTATGTCAGACAATTCTTACCATCGCTACATATTCATCGTGCATGCATAGACAAACGTACCGGGAGCGCGTATCTGATAACAGTTACACGCTATTCCACATAGACAATCCGCTTTTACATCTCGAACCGGCAGTATACTTCACTTTCTCGGCCCAGAAATCACGCGCGCGTTCTGTATCAACGTTACAACGGCGGAAACATTTGCATTTCTGGGTTAGGCATTAACACGCCCGTATATACGTGCCTTTGTATGCAAAATGAACGCGTACATTGTTACAATGAGTAACGATCATATGAGAGAGAGAGCCACCAATCACGTACTGGTTCACATTATTTCATTTGAAAATTAAACCAGGAGAATCATGATTCATATATTCTCTATTCTATTAATTCAATTACATGAGTAGTATGTGATCACAATTATATGTTGCGTCATAAAAATACTTTATTTCGTCTTTCTTTTCGCCATTGTATACTTTTTCTCGCGACGATTGAGATTGATAAATCTATTATTCATTTTTCAATAATTATTTGAACTGATTTTCTTTTTCCGTGGTTAAGACTTTTTTGGGATTATCTATTTTAAGAGAAAAAGGGCAAAACTTGAGATATACTTGATATTTTACTGGATAAGAAAAGATTAAATACGTCACAAGAAAATACTTTTTCTTAAATACCTTTATATCCTATAAGCATACAATGAATGATATCGTTTTTCTTTTTCTACTTACGTAACTGTCTGATGTTCGAATCTGCTCCTTTCTGGGGAAAAATCTGCCAGAACGATTACAGCGAAATAGGATTGTAGAATATAATTAGATAACAAGAGAATCTTGATAGACGGGGAACAATCTGGAAAAAAGAAACATAGTAACGTTAATCTAAAAAAAAAATTATTTTTTTATCATATTTAATAAATAGATATTTAATATAAAACACGTTATAAAAAGTTGTATTAACAGTTACTTAAAAAGAATTCTAGAGATTAATTTCTCAAGAAATACACAAATTTGATAAATCTTCAAGAGATTAAGGCTCCGTTAATTATAAAATAAAAAATATCGAAACATACGGATCGAAACGTACGCCGATTATAGTTTTTATTATTATTGTTTAATCAATAAATATATTGTTCTTGCGCTCTAAGTATTACGCATGGCTCTTTATGCCGTTTTTCTCTTTATTTTTTGATAAATCTGACAAAATTCTTAGTAGTTTGCATAACATCAACATGTATGGCCGATTAAAAAGATCATCGTGTAGCTCTTATCGCATGAAAAATGCTTCTGAAAAATTCGAAAGTCTCCCTTCGAAAATTTCTCAGATTGTTTCTGCGATATTTTCTAATATTTTCCAATTTTTACGATGCCGCGTGTTCGCGATACACATGTGCATAAACACGCGTGCAAAATGAATCAGACATTTAGCTCGAACAGAAAAAGGAAGTCAGAAGGACGGCCGGAAACAATCGATATGTTTGCACTGTGACAGCCACGCATGTCTTTCTTCCGTTCCAGTTCGTTTCCTACATTCGCGTTGAAAACGCGCAGCGTTGCACCCGGAAATCGATTGTCGCGTCTGGAAAAATTCCAGACGGGAGAAAGAGAAAAACACACATACACATGCATCCGTATATCTCTCCCTCCTTTCTGATCGGAGAATCTGATAGCAGGTGCGCTTTCATGTCGGAAAGTGGGTTCTCTTTCTCCCTTCCGTATGTGGAGGTTACTTCGCTCCGATTTCGCCAGCCGGAAGCTCCTTATCGACGGCTTCTGCGCGGTTAAGTTCCACGGCATATAGTTGTCGCAAGCCGAGTTTCCTTCCAGTGCCAGCAGTAGAGCTCGACACGTTGACCGATACATAAAACGTGACGCATTTGCTGTCGAGAAAATATTACCCGCGAAAACCGCTTGTAAATTTGTGCAAATTATACAAGTATATTATAAATAATATGAAAATTACTTTAAAAATTTATCAATTTCTGCAGAAATTATTGTGAATATATTTGACAAGTGTGAATTTGACACAATACAAAATGAGCGATAGCGAAGTGTACAGTATTAGATAAATGGTTTTTGGATGCCGCATGTTTTCAATAAATCAATTTCTAATAAATAAATGATAAATTCATAATAGTAAACAAATTTTATCAAATTATTTTTGAAGTTAATTTTTAAAAAGAAACAGATACAAAATGTCTCGGTTCTTGGAAAATCGGGCCAAGTCATACACGATGAAGCAATTCGTCCACCAATTTTATTCGTCAAATTAATTCTTCGTCAGATGAGCGATGAACATTTCTCCATTGACGAAACCGAAGCTTGTAATAAACCATCTATTTTTTTGTAACACGTGTCTGCACGCGTCAGCTCATTTACTTATTAGAAAACATTATGCCATTGAGAAGGATGCACCGGCAGTTCCACCCATCTCAAAACATGTCGTTCGCAACTAAATCTATCCGCCGACGCAATTACACCGACGCATAATGACGCAATACGTAATAGCGTTGAAGCGATATTAAGTTAAAATTCATTAGTCGACTTAGGATTTGCATTGGTGAGATTATAGCTCAATTCTATCGCCCAGTTTCCATTCGTACTATAATAGTTAATTAAAATTTATTTAAAAAAAAACACGTTGTTGTGTGTAAACGTCACCAATTTGAATTTTAAGATATTATGAATACAATATCAAGATTTACAAAAGAAAAAAACACAAAAATATATATTAATCGGAAAATAATTGTCTCGTATAGGAATATGTGTCCCAAATTTACTAAAATAGTCGTTTAAACTGTAGAAAACGTGAAAATGGATTTCTCTCTCTCTCTCTATTTTTATTTCCCTTTCTTTATTGCGAGTAAAGTTAAGAGAAGAGAGACAGAAATATAGTTTTACATATTTTGTTTTATTACAGTTCGACATTAATTAAATAGACTTCTTGAAGTTTACCAAACGATAAATTTAATATTGAAATATGGCACATCTCGGATATTTTTCGATTGATTCGTTATCATTACATGTTTTAGAATTTATGGAACATAACTTGTTCCGCGATACATTTGCAAAGACATTGCATTTAAAGATATTATGCATTTTTACACATTGATACATCTTTTCGATATTAGCTCAAAGGCTTATCTCTCACAGGATGGAACGCAGTTTAAATCGAATATGACGTATCATGCGCACGCGATAGAAAGTGAGAGAGAATGTGCGTGTGTGTATGTGTGAGTAAAATACTATTACATATATGCATCAAAAAGCCAGTGCAATTATCGATGGACTTGTATCGCGCGTACGAAGAGGTTAAATGCAATTAAGCTTTACCACTCGTAGCCCACGATCCGTTCTGCGCGAAATTGGAGAGTATTATGCTGTCAGTAAATACGGGAACGGATTTATTCTACTGAAAAGCTCAATAAATTCATTCTATACAATCTATAAGCGAAAGATACTTGGCAGTCGTTAAATTCTATAATTCAAGACAATGCATTTTTAATGAAATTCAAATGAAAATTAATAAACCGAGCAAATTGTTATAATGAGTATTCTGAATTATAGACTAGTATAACAACTTTTCGTGCTCTCTAATATTTGTTAATATTCTTAAATATATTAGTAATAATCTCCAATATATATATATATATATGTGTGTGTACTTGTCATAATAAACACTAAAGATTGCTTAAAGATTACCAACATAGTCAAGATATGTTGTCATTTAATTTATAAATGTTTATTAACTTAATGTACCATAAAATGATATCACCCCTCTAATTTTGTTTCCTCTTTACATAATTACAATAGAAAAATAACATAAAAATATAATTATTTTATTCATTCCATTTTCAGTCATTCTAGATTGTATATTCATAAATCTTTAGATCACTGAATATTCAGATCTCTGGCGCTTTAAATTTCCAGATTATACATTTTAAATTCTATAGTCGCATAAAATTCGTATATCTCTTTCGCACAAACCTTTAGTCTTTGTATGCACCGACCGCTATAAATTTTCGTAATAGAGTCGGTTCGAGCCCGTCTGAAGTAATCCGATAGCATTTTAAAAGAGGCGAGAGAGGACTTTTCAAACGATCAATTATAATTAAAGTGGAATTATTCGCCAAAGTCGTTCGTAGGAAGTACCTCCCAAGTACCTCCATAAGCCGATAAATTCAGCTTCCCCCCTTCTCGACGGATTGCAAGAATTAAATCTCTATTCCTGCGGGGATGCGTGACTGATTTTTCCGCTGTCATTTTTGCCAAGCTAGCTGTGAACGCGCTTCGACGGCGAAAATATTTATTCTCAAGTTCTTGGTTCAGTACCTTAATTGGCGAATGAAATTAAGGGACTTCAAAGGCTTTCGCGTCTAAGGCTTTTGGAGCTTTCAGTAGCAATGAAAGCTCGTGCGATCCCGAAAGCTGACGGATTGCAAATTGCTATTTCTCGCGTGATGGCGCAACGGGATTAGGATAAACAATTTTCTTCGCTTTTGCGTACAACAATCTGCAATTACGCGAGAAATAGCTCAGGTCGAATTGCGCCTTTGTGCAAAAAATCGAATGGAAATTGCGTGCAGATACTCGCCGCTGTGTCTGACACGCAATTTCTGTGCTTATGTTAAACACAATGAACGTAATAATCGCGATGGTTAGTCCAATGGTGACCCTAATTTGCCTTATACTTAATTAGAAATTCTTAATTTAATAATTAAACTTGCTGTGCGTTTAACGAAATAATCCAGTTATGTGTAAGAGAAAGCGAATTATAGCAGTTTTACTTTCTAATATAAAATGCATTAATACTCAGCTGAATTTTAAGCTGTAGTTTAACGCAATTAGCTATTGAAGTGAATAAGTTTTATTGTGGCCCTATATTATTATAATTGGCTATAATGTAATTCTATTTTTATTATTGATCATCTGCAGTTAAATATAAAAAATGCCGTTAACAATTTTTCTCCTCTTGATTAAAACTAAATATTATTAAAAACTAAAAAAGTGTATTGTGCGAAGAAGATTTCTGAAAAATTCAAAGATGTTTCTTTGCAATCACATTTTCAATTATGCAATTTTGTTAAATAAGATGTAAAATATAAAAAAAAGCGGAGAAGAAAAGGCGCGTAAACAGAAACATTATCTCGTGGAAAATGACAATTTCATGCTTTACTTTTTTTCCTAAAATACTGAAGACCAATTGTTAATGCAATTGCTGTTCATATCTACTTCTCAGCATTTATGAATTCTTTTTCCTAGCACAGTTATCTAATTAATATCATATTTATCTTTATTATTATCATATTCATTATCTTATAATATTATCTTTATCACATTTATTTTTATAGCAATAAAAATGAATGCTATTTCTCTTTTTTTCAGTTTAAAAAAGCGCATAATCAACACTACCGAAAGCAGAGCACGACGGCTCCGTGACCACGTGAAGCGGCTGGGCCTCCTGTGACGGGGGGTTCGAGGACCGCGCGCGCACCCCCTTACAGCGTTCTTAGACGATGATAGACCCAAGTTCATCCGAGGAGGAGAGCGAGGAGGATCAGAACACTCACCATGGCGGTGGCGGTGGCGGTGGTCGTGCCGGCAGCGGTAGCTCTCACGGCTCCCGTCGTCATCCTAGCAGCATCGGCAGCGGTCCAGGTTCCGGTAGCGTCGGCTCGCTCGCTTCGGGCCTCACAGCCTCCCCCGGCGGCCCGAACCATGTGGGTCCACCGAGCACTGCGGGAGCCCATGGATCCGGAAATCGAGCCACCGTGGGACCGCAAGACACCGCCGGGGCTGGCTTGGACGTGCCTAATCTCGCCAGCGCCAGAAACTCCCTGTCGCCGTCGATGAGCGCGGCTCAAGATGCAGCTAATTATGCCCAGAGGCCCACTAGTCCATCTCCCTCTGTCGCTAGCGAGAAAACGGAAGCGGAGCTGCAAGTACGCGCACAAATGCACTCAAAAATTTCTTTCTATTTTCGTTTCTCGCCAAAAAGTCTCTTTTTGGTTGCCACAATTTTTTTCAGATACTAAAAATTATATTTATAGTTAAAATATACAATATACATGCATACACGAAATAAAAAAAAAAAATATACATATATTAAAACATATAATATATAAGATAATTTTTTTATGTTAAAGAGAAACAACATAGGATAGAAAAGGGCAATAAAAACTATTAAACTGCAATTATTGCCGAAGACTGAAATTATAAGAAATGTTTTGCTTAGATCCATTTCTTTCGCGAAGAGAAATTGAATAGTAATTTTTCCAACATTACGTGCAGCATCGCTCCATCGATACAATTTTTTAAATTTTCTTTAGGATAAGCAAGAAAGGGAAGAAGAGGAAAGGAAAACTCGGATACAGCTTTATGTCTTCATATCTAGATGCATCGCTTATCCGTTCAATGCCAAGCAACCGATGGACATGACGCGAAGGCAGATGAAAGTGACGAAGCAGCAATTGGAGACCATATGTTCTCGTTTTCAGGTAAACAGACAAATAAACTTTTTTTCAAAGAAAGAAATTAATTAATTTTTGCTACTAAATATAAAAATAAGTATAAAAATATAGAATAAAGTGTTGTATATATAAAAATCTACTGAGAAGATACTAAATCTGTACATTACATTATTACTGCCGATCGTCTATTTATGTTTTACTGAACCAGAATATTGTTTAAAACGCATTCGCATTATGTATTTAACATTTTACGAAGTAAAAGAAACCTTTCGTGGCGAATGGCCGTTTATCGAAGCCTTATGCAGAGTCTTATATGTATCTATCGTGTAACCTTCACCTTTGTTGCTCTTATTGTTAGATATATCGAAGCTGTACGATCGCATTAAATTATTGGCCGTTATAAATATAGATTGTTTTCCTTATATACGATGCAATCGTGTCTCACATCTTACATTATGCTGCATAAGATGTAGTTGTGATTAATTTTTTCCTGCATTTATCGTTATGCAAGAAATCATTATTATCATATTCATTATCTTATAATATTATCTTTATCACATTTATTTTTATAGCAATAAAAATGAATGCTATTTCTCTTTTTTTCAGTTTAAAAAAGCGCATAATCAACACTACCGAAAGCAGAGCACGACGGCTCCGTGACCACGTGAAGCGGCTGGGCCTCCTGTGACGGGGGGTTCGAGGACCGCGCGCGCACCCCCTTACAGCGTTCTTAGACGATGATAGACCCAAGTTCATCCGAGGAGGAGAGCGAGGAGGATCAGAACACTCACCATGGCGGTGGCGGTGGCGGTGGTCGTGCCGGCAGCGGTAGCTCTCACGGCTCCCGTCGTCATCCTAGCAGCATCGGCAGCGGTCCAGGTTCCGGTAGCGTCGGCTCGCTCGCTTCGGGCCTCACAGCCTCCCCCGGCGGCCCGAACCATGTGGGTCCACCGAGCACTGCGGGAGCCCATGGATCCGGAAATCGAGCCACCGTGGGACCGCAAGACACCGCCGGGGCTGGCTTGGACGTGCCTAATCTCGCCAGCGCCAGAAACTCCCTGTCGCCGTCGATGAGCGCGGCTCAAGATGCAGCTAATTATGCCCAGAGGCCCACTAGTCCATCTCCCTCTGTCGCTAGCGAGAAAACGGAAGCGGAGCTGCAAGTACGCGCACAAATGCACTCAAAAATTTCTTTCTATTTTCGTTTCTCGCCAAAAAGTCTCTTTTTGGTTGCCACAATTTTTTTCAGATACTAAAAATTATATTTATAGTTAAAATATACAATATACATGCATACACGAAATAAAAAAAAAAAATATACATATATTAAAACATATAATATATAAGATAATTTTTTTATGTTAAAGAGAAACAACATAGGATAGAAAAGGGCAATAAAAACTATTAAACTGCAATTATTGCCGAAGACTGAAATTATAAGAAATGTTTTGCTTAGATCCATTTCTTTCGCGAAGAGAAATTGAATAGTAATTTTTCCAACATTACGTGCAGCATCGCTCCATCGATACAATTTTTTAAATTTTCTTTAGGATAAGCAAGAAAGGGAAGAAGAGGAAAGGAAAACTCGGATACAGCTTTATGTCTTCATATCTAGATGCATCGCTTATCCGTTCAATGCCAAGCAACCGATGGACATGACGCGAAGGCAGATGAAAGTGACGAAGCAACAATTGGAGACCATATGTTCTCGTTTTCAGGTAAACAGACAAATAAACTTTTTCTCAAAGAAAGAAATTAATTAATTTTTGCTACTAAATATAAAAATAAGTATAAAAATATAGAATAAAGTGTTGTATATATAAAAATCTACTGAGAAGATACTAAATCTGTACATTACATTATTACTGCCGATCGTCTATTTATGTTTTACTGAACCAGAATATTGTTTAAAACGCATTCGCATTATGTATTTAACATTTTACGAAGTAAAAGAAACCTTTCGTGGCGAATGGCCGTTTATCGAAGCCTTATGCAGAGTCTTATATGTATCTATCGTGTAACCTTCACCTTTGTTGCTCTTATTGTTAGATATATCGAAGCTGTACGATCGCATTAAATTATTGGCCGTTATAAATATAGATTGTTTTCCTTATATACGATGCAATCGTGTCTCACATCTTACATTGTGCTGCATAAGATGTAGTTGTGATTAATTTTTTCCTGCATTTATCGTTATGCAAGAAATCAGGTTTATATATTAACATCTAGATATTTCTCACATGCAGGAATATAATTATATCATGTAAGACTACATCATGTATGTAATGTTTGATCTATTCAACAAATATAAGGCTGTTATCGAATACCAAATATCATTAAATATAAATCAAAGAATCCATGTAATTTAGAATTATATAGATATTGCGTGCAGCTTAACAAGAGGAATCTTAGAATCTCGAAGAAAATTACACATTATATAGGATGTATGATCGTTTAAATTGTGTCCGTATGAATTGCAGAGTTTTTTGAAGGGTGAGACGCAGATCATGGCTGACGAGGCATTCCACAATGCTATACAGAATTACCACGACGTGTTTCTCAAGTCGGATCGAGTGGTGCGAATGGTGCAAAGCGGCGCATGCTCCCAGCTCGACTTCCGCGAGGTGTTTAAGAAGAACATTGAGAAGCGTGTTCGGAGCCTCCCGGAAATCGACGGACTGAGCAAAGAGACTGTGCTTACGTCCTGGTTGGCCAAATTCGATTGCATTTTGAAAGGTACTGGTGACGAGGATAGCAAACGGCCTTCCAGGATGCAACAGCAGTCTTTGAACTCGGAGCTGATACTGTCAAAGGAGCAGCTGTACGACATGTTTCAGCAGATTCTCGGCATCAAGAAGTTCGAGCACCAGCTTCTGTTCAACGCCCTCCTGTTGGACTCAGCCGACGAACAGGCTGCCGCCATCAGGAGGGAGCTGGACGGTCGCGTACAGAAGGTCAACGAGATGGAGAAGGTATTGTGACGGTCGCTTTTTCTTCTTTTATTTTTGCTTTTATTTTACTTTAATGCTGTTTCATTTGGACATGGATACGTTCTTTCTCTCTGGTCTTATCGTCCACCGATTGCTTCTGCTCGTTCCTGAACACCGACCGTTCCTTCTCTATCCCTAGAACCGCAAGCTCATGCCCAGGTTCCTTCTGAAAGAGATGGAGTCGCTCTACATCGAGGAGCTCAAGTCGTCTATCAACCTGCTAATGGCTAATTTGGAGTCGTTACCGGTCTCCAAGGGTTCGATAGACAGCAAATACGGGCTGCAGAAGCTGAAGCGCTACAACCATCGTGGTGAGCGCTCCCGCTGCCGCGGTCAGGGCTCCCTCGCTAAACTGGAGGGCGACTCCGCCGATTCCGATCCCCAATTGACGAAAATGGACGTCGGCCTGACCTTCCAGCTGGAAGTAATCGTAATGGAGGTCAAGGGCCTCAAAAGCCTAGCACCCAATAGAATAGTTTATTGCACCATGGAGGTGGAGGGCGGCGAGAAGCTGCAGACCGATCAGGCCGAGGCCTCCAAGCCTATGTGAGTAGAGAAAAAGAGAAATTCGATCGCAAAGATCGAGAGTTCAATTGCAATAGCCGACCGGGGGGGGTCAGGACCGATCGCATCATTCTCGTCCACGGATCGTATTTATAGGTGGGACACTCAGGGTGACTTCACCACGATGCATCCGCTGCCAGTAGTCAAGGTCAGACTGTACACCGAGAATCCAGCGATGCTGGCGCTCGAGGACAAGGAGCTGGGCAAGGTGATTCTGCGACCTACTCCGTTATCTTGCAAGATGCCGGAGTGGCATCGTATGACCGTGCCCAAGAACTGCGCCGATCAGGATCTAAGGATAAAGATCGCCTGTCGCATGGACAAGCCGCTCAACATGAAGCACTGCGGCTATCTGTACGCGATGGGCAAGTCCGTATGGAAAAAATGGAAGAAGCGGTACTTTGTGTTGGTCCAGGTCTCGCAGTACACATTTGCGATGTGCTCGTACAAAGAAAAAAAAAGCGAGCCGTCGGAAATGATGCAGCTCGATGGCTATACAGTGGACTATATCGAGGCCGTTTCTGCTAATCTCATGGTCGGCATGGATTTAGAGGGCGGAAGGTAAATTTTCCTCCCCCCGCAGAGAGAGAGCGAGAAATACCTAAACCCCGCCGTAGCAGCATGCTCGTAGTCGCTCAAAATAGTAAAATTGCGAATTGCAATTGTTTGTCGTTATCAAACACGTTAATTATAATTCTTCATGTTATATTTTTCATCTTCATGGTAAATTTTTGTTGAGATATTTTTTTATCATTAATGGTAGAAATTTAATTAAATTCTTTTTATTTTTATGAGGCCACACATTATCAAACATTTTTCATAAATCAATAATTTTATATTGAGTTTGTAGTAAAAAGTAGAAAATTTTTTACAAGAGAATAGAGTTTAATTTTTCTTAATTTTTCTGTATCGATATTTTCTAATATGATCGAGCAAGATATTCCGCAGCTAGCTGGCAAAGATTGTGCGTCAAGTTCCGGTCGCACATTCGCACAATTCGCAGTTACGAGTTGCGTATATCCGACAGGTACTTTTTCAACGCTGTGCGCGAAGGCGACAATATAGTATACGCTTCGGACGACGAGAACGAATGTCACCTGTGGGTGATGGCGATGTACCGGGCGACCGGTCAATCGCACAAGCCCACCCCGCCGGTCTCTGTAGCCGACAAGAACTCCACTATCAGCAAGATCCAGGGCGACGCCGATCGTGCAAAGAAGCACGGCATGGAAGACTATATCAGTGCCGATCCTTGCAAGTTTGAACACCACGCCCTATTCAAGTATCTGCAAAACTTGATCTTGGATTACAGATTGAACGATCCATACTGCTCGCTCGGCTGGTTCTCTCCCGGTCAAGTTTTTGTCCTGGATGAGTATTGCGCCAGGTAATGAAGCTCGTATTTGTCAACCGAATTAATCCGTTTGCAGTATTTGTAGACATTTATAGATATTATTCATATAGAGATTATGTCATTGTGTGCGATTTTAATTAAATACACTACAGTTCATAAATTAAAAAATAAGGAACATTGAGAAAATCACAACACGCATACGTACATATGAAATTAAAATATATAAAGTTTGTCTTTTTTATGAATTTTTTGTTTGCGGTATCAATTTGAGAGTCTGTTTTCTGATAATAGATACGGCGTGCGCGGATGCTTTCGGCATCTCTGCTATCTTAACGATCTGTTGGACAGAATCGATCGTGGGCTTATGATAGATCCAACATTGATACACTTTAGCTTTGCCTTTTGCGCCACTCATGTCTACGGTAATACAACATCGGCTGATGGCGTGGGTTCGATTACTCATGAAGAGAAAGATAAGTTTCAGGATATCAAAGAACGACTCAGACAGATTCTTGAAAAGCAGATCACCAATTTTAGGTAAATAATTCTAATATTGTTTCCATATATTGTGTATGAGAATGACGCAGGGAATAATTATTATAAATAATTATTTCCATTCCCATTATTTAGCTTTAAAGCGTTTCTTTATAACATACGATTTATAAATTAATTTTTTTAATGAATTATTTTAATAAATTACTTTTTTTCTAAAATTATTCTTTTTTTATAATTTTTAAAGCAATAATTTCTATAATAATTTACATAGATTTATTGAGAAAAGAAATTAATTTGTGTATATTGTGATAATATAGAGCTGTTACAATGAAAATAGAGAGACAAGTCTCCTTAAAATAATTTTTTCCCAAAGATTAAAAAATCACGAATTATATAATCCTTCCTTGCAACAGGTACGGTTTTCCATTCGGGCGTCCAGAAGGCGCGCTGAAGGCGACTTTATCTCTGTTGGAACGTGTTCTCATGAAAGATAGCGTAACACCTGTGCCGCAAGAAGAAGTAAAAGCACTGATAAAAAATTGCCTGGAAACAGCAGCGCTGGTAAATTACACAAAACTGTCTGCAGAGGCGAAGATCGAAGATGATTTGAGCGGCGAGGTGTGCGTGCCTCCCAGCAAGAAGCTGGAGGATCTCATACACCTCGCCGAGCTGTGCGTGGACCTGCTGCAGCAAAATGAAGAACATTATTCGGAGGTATTAGTTGGGTTTTTAGAACTGAGTGTCGATTCTCGGGGCTCTCGAGAGAGAGGGTCAGCATGCCTTGATACACGGACTTGGTAAGGGTCCGCCACCTCCTCAGAAGACAAAAGCGCGCCGTCCATTTCTTTTCGTAGATTTTGATCGCGTAGATGATCATATAGAAAGCTTCTGATATCATCGCGAAAGTTACTTTCGCTTAGAGTAACCGCTGAACC